GCAGCAGTGCAGCGGCGAGGTGCTCTCAGAGTTGCCTGCGCCTACCGCACGGTTTCCGAAGCGGCTGTACTGGTCATTGCGGGAGCTGCGCCCATCGACCTATTAGCGTTCGAAAGAGCAAAACTCTATGACGCTAAAGACAGTGATGATAACATGAAGGACGCAAGAACGAGGATAAAGGCGGAAACGCAGCAAGAGTGGCAGGACTGATGGACGTCGGGAGAGACAGGCAGATGGACAGCGCAATTGATCCCAAACATCAACGTCTGGCTTTCTTGGAAGCACGGGGACACAGATTTTTTCCTGACCTAACTACTGACAGGACACGGGCAGTATAACGCCTATCTCTTCAAGATGGGTCTGCACAACACACCAACATGCAAATACTGCCCGGATGAAATCGACGACGCCGAACACACATTCTTTGAGTGTGCTCGGTGGAAAGACTACAGAAGAAGCACCGAAGAAATCATTGGCCTATATGATCAAAACAAGAAGAAAAACTGGTCAGCTGTTGCAGCTTATGCACAACACCTCCTGAAAGACAAAATCGCAGAAAGAGACCAGTAGCCAGGAGTAGGCGTCGTGAGACGCAGCACGGCTGGATTGAAGTAATGCTAACGCGGTTCCAATCCAGTCCTCCCCGTACCATCTAGGGGAGAGGGGAAGAGGAATGTTTTTTTTTAGTGGGTAAAAATCTCCACACTACCGACTATCGATATCTGCCGTAAGATGGGCGGCAGAGTTAACGATAGCGGTGTCTTTTGAAGATCTTTTTTCGTACCTCTTTGGAAAAAAAAAAAAACATACATACATACATACATACATACATACATACATACATACGGACATCATCGCGAAAAAATTCAGGGACGCTTTCCAGGACTTCAAAACGTCGAGATCTGATGAAAATTCGATTTTCGAAAAACGGGGTGAAACCAAAAACTTCCCGATATTTGAAAATTTTCAATTTTCTTAGCGGGAAATTAAAAAATAACACTTAAAAAATTCTTTTTTCTTGCTCTCCTACCCGAAAGTACGCTCTTTCTGGACGCAGTTTACTCCAGAAAGAGCAAAATTTGTGGCTTGTTTTGGCGCATGCGCGCTACGCATATTTTCTGGCCGGGCAGCACAGAACCTCGCTTCTTTTCATATTTTCGTGGCGTGAGTTTCAACTGTCTAACAGTCACAACATCACAACATCGTCTGTATGTAACATGTCAGCGCATAAACTAACCAGAAAGTGTCAAAAAAATAAAAAATAATTTATAACTAGATTATTATTAATGAACTATTTAATAATAACACTACATAAATGATTCATATAAAAAGTTTATATAAAATAAAATATAATAGTTTTGTGGACTTTATTTGCTTTCTTTTATATTTTGACAGCTAGTCAAGCAATGTTTATAAAATAATAGGTACATGTACTCTACAAGCTTCTAATCATTTTATTTCAATCTTTCTTAGCCGTCGATTATTAACTAAAAATTAATTTTTAATCAACTCAAAAAAATAAATTTTGTTATTAGAACGAGTTTAAATATTTGTGCCAAGTTCTGTGCATTTTATCACTCTAAATTAGAACAGTTGGTGGTAAACTTTAGAATAACATTTTTTTTTTTTTAATTTATTAATTTTTACTTTTTTCTGCCCTCCAGCCGGAAAGTGGCAACTTTCTGGCCGCTGCGCTAAACAAAGTTGCCACGTTCCGGCTACGTCGAGCAGAAAAATAGTATACACACCTTGGCCAGTAAAAAGTAAAGCCTCAGACCACATGTTTGTCAACATCGGCTTCGCCTCGGCCAACAATTACATGTGGTCTGAGACTTTTCTTATTTTACTGGCCTAGGTATGTAATATACTATTTTTTGTCCGCCCCGACCAGCAAAGCCTCGGCTTCGCCTCGGCTTTGCAAAAGTCGGGCGGCGCCCCCCTCGCACCCGGCAAAACCTCGGTTTCGCCTCGGTTTTGCAAAACCCCTTCTCCGGAGTTGCGTACTTTCGGGTGGAGAGCAAGAAAAATAGTATACAACCCATGACCAGAAAGTTGCATGCCCTGACGTATGGGTTATAATGGCCTCGGCTACGCCTCGGCCATCATATCCCATACGCCAGGAAATACAACTTTCTGGCCTAGGGTTGTAATATACTATTTTATCATAGTTGGGTCTTAGCCCAACGCTAGGTTCTCTTGCCTCGGCTATTCTATGGCGAACCAGTCTTGGCCCAACGCTGGGTTCTCTTGTTTCAGCTATTCTATGGCAAACCAGTGTTGGCTCAGGCTCGGGTAATCATTGGGTTGGCCAAGGCTGATTACCTAGTCTTGGCCCAAGCATGGGCCAATATCGGTGCACCAAGCTTGGTTGCCCACTACTGGGCCAGGCAAGGCCCCGTCATTCAACTTCGGCAGTTTCTACATGGGAAACATTAATTGCAAAAGTCATTCTGAAAAGTGCTACATGACTTTAAACTTAATTCTCAAAATTAATCAAACTACTATCGAACTCTAATCTTCAACTGCAATGTTTATTAAATTGCATGGTCACTCAATAGATAATATTTTTATTGACTATTTTATCATAATTATTTACCCTTAATTTATCAACATCAATCATCCAATCTATTATTGTAACTTCATATGACATCTTTGACACTAAGTGAATTAAGTGAAATAACATTATTACCGAGAAAACAAGAAATACGTCTAATAACGTCATTCGAATCAAATTTATTGCAATAGTAAACGATGTTAATTAGACTACAATGGTTATTCTTTTTTTTACTTGGCCTTGCCCCTTTCAAGTACACAAGAATTTCGCTACACATCAGTTACAATGGAAATAACTTTCAAGGAATTGAATTTTCATCTTCTAAAATTAATATATTTTACAGTTTATTTTTAATAATTCACATTTTTATAACAAGTTATTTTTGCCGATCATTTTCAACCACTGATTGTAACTGTAAAAACGATACTAAACTTACAAATATATCAGAAGTAATTCTAAGTTTAGCCGGAAATATTGTTTGTGTCGTTCTATTGCTTTTGTTTATCATCCTGCGACATTCCATGGTAGAAATCGCATATCAATTGACATACATCGACATTGTAATGAACAAATTTTGGCACATATTTAAACTGGAAAGTGTGAAAATTAAAGTTGTAGTTGTATTGTATGTCAATACACTTCTTTCTACGATTGTTATTGTATCTGAAATATTTTTGAGCATACAATTTAATACTGCCACATGTTTATATATATTCCATGGAATCGTATTCAATTACTTTGTAACGCAGTATACGGTTGCATTGATGTTGATTGAAAAAAGATTCAAAAGCTGTAACAATGCATTACTTCATTCGAAAAAAATAATATCTTCAATGAAAGTCATAAATGTGAGAAAACATTTACTTACTAAGACGTGTATTGTTGAAATAATTGGCTTGAAACGCTATTATACAATGTTATGCCAATTGAGTACAAAATTTGAAAACTTTTATTCTTTTGGAATGCTATGTATAATTCCTTACAATATTGCGTGTGTTGTTCTCAGCACTCATAATCTAATGGCGCCTTTAATGCAATCGCGCAATCTTGAGACTTTAGTCTGGAGAGATATAAACGATCTCTTTTGGATATTGTCCAAAATTTTTCCACTTTTTACTGCTACTGCATATGCCACTGAAATTCAAATAGAGGTGAGTAAAAGCTTGTATTCATCTTCATCTTCACTTAAAAATAATTGAAAAATAGGATAAACGGTTGACCCTCAAAAACTTACCTATGATATTTTCGAACTTTGCGAAATCTCCTGAACGAATCATCCGATTCAATGCAATTTTTAAGGACAAAATGATAACCTACATCTAAAAAAATGATCTGAGAAATAATTTGGAAGATATATCAAAATACCATTTTTTTTGAAAATTTTTCGTTTAGTTTACGATATCTCTCGAACGCATCCTCAACTGACTGCAATGAAGCTCAAGTAATTGCAAAAAAAAAAATTTTTTTTTTAAATTGATAAATTAATAAAATAAAAAAGAAACATTTAATCGATTTGTTGTCGAGATATAATAGTTGCATGCGTCATACCGGGAAGTGTATGGGATAGTTCTCTACTCTCGCCTCTCACCAAAATCAAGCAATTTTCCGAGCTAAGAATGTCTCTATTTAATTAAAATTGCATTTATAGAATAATATAAATACACCGTTTACGCCCGCAAACCTGAGATGAAAAATGTCGCAAAATATTTGAATGTTCAGACCACACTAGACACTACGGAAGAACTGTCTTAAAAGAAGGAAAGGCTTTCCTGATAGTCTAGGAAAATATATATAAGTGAGGAGAAAATAAACCCATGCAGGAAAAGAATGTGACCAACTAAGTCCTTGTGAAAACACGAAATTTTATACAAGTAAAACCCCTTTGTTCATTCATTCATAAAGCATCTGTCTTACTTAAATTAAATTCTCTATAAAGTACATTCTTATATATTTTCAACTCAAAGGTCTACAGGCCTAAGAAAATAGTGGACATGTCGAATTCGAAGGCACGAAAGGCAAAATATCCACCGAAGTCCTTATTCTTTTCTTCATCGTGGAAGTCCAAGACCCTGCAGAGGTGCTGGAGGGGAAAATTCCAAGTCTCGGCCGTCGAAGAAGGGGACCGTTGACCGCCCGTCGTCTATGCTGAGCGCGGACGTTTGGGACTCTATCGCCTTTTTCGAAGTGAAGTCCTTCGGTGCCATCTCCTCTCTAAAATTAACAAGAGATTAATTTAATACTTCAATACTGAATTTCTTCAATACTTACTTTGAATTTAAACTCGCGGAAATCCACCGTGAATTATTAACCTCGAGTTTACCTCGAAGAAAATCTAATTTTGTCGCGTGAATCTCTAATTGAATTATCTCATGTTGGTGCGTTGGATGGGCAAAAGGCTTGAAGGTGCACCTAAATCTCACTCCAGTGACTACATATTCTAGTGGCGCTACCACATCACCCAAATTAATCTTCTTCGCATGTCCATTTTCTCTACTCTCTTCTAGTGTTACAAAGTTACCATTTTCTTCAACTTTCCGCCATCTTGTCATACTTATCTCTCCATATGCGCTCACTAACCCTTCCAGGATCTGTACATGCACCATATGGCTACCCTTAATCAACCTCACCCCCACTACAATCCTGAAATTTCCAATAATAAGAATAATCCAAAGCTGTACTTAAATTGACCTCACTGCTGCCGTCAACTTAACGTCTTATTCTAGCCGCAATCCGGGAAAAAATGATCAGACATGAAAAATGACCATGCCTGATCAGGCATGAATTGACCTGATCAGACATGGTCAGGTCTGAAAGCCCATTGTTACTTCTAATTAATTATTTTGCTTAGTTTTATCACGGAAAAAAATAAATAGTAAATGCAACATGATGCAGTCTTGGTAAATAAACATGATGAAATCATGTTGCATCCACATGATTTGTCATATTTCGGCTACATGACAATCATGTTGCGGTAGCATGAGAAAAATTATGTGGCAGCAACGTGATTTTCATGTAGCCTTAATAGCATAAAATTAAGCTGCAACAACTAAATATTTATGCTTTAGAAAAATTATTTATTATCAAGCAACTAGATTTTTTCGGATTTATAATATTGTAGATGAAAATTAGAGTAAATTATCAAATTAAATCATTTGTAATGATATTTTTGCTTAAAGGGTTAGGGGTAGTCAGGATTTTCAAAAAATCGATTTTTTTTGCATTTTCTTTAAGTGTAATATCTTAAAAATATTGTCTGAAAGTTTAAAGTGAATCCGACAAATACTTTTCGAGTTATTCGACAAATAACAAAGGACGCTCAGGCACTCCAGAACGCTCGAGAACAGGTAGTGTAAAACTTTAAATTGTAACGGAGTGATCGTTACCCCTTAAAAGCCCTTTTATCCGCACCCATTATGTTATCGACGGATCACAGAGCGCTGTGATCTGAAGCCCTCGTAGTCATAGTTTGACACTTGTGAGTGAGTCCCCAAGGTGGAGGTGTCAGCAGTGAGAGTGGGGAGAGCAGAGGAAAAAAGAAACGCACCGACAAAATTCGGAAGAGTCATTGTGACCGAACAGTCAAACCTAACGGTCGCGCAAAAAATTAATAGCCACCAAAGCACAGGTAATTATTTTTATTTCGCTCAACCTATAATGGAACGAAGCGATACAATTCAATTAATTTATTGCTTGCTAGGCCTCCTGCCAGATTGCGTAAATTAATTCTAATTAGTGATAATTTCTAATGCTTATTTGCGGTTACAGGGTTTGTAAAGTATACGGAGAACGAGTGACGGTGACCAGAGTCTCGCCGCCAAGCAGATTTATCCACCAAGGAGGGATTTGTACCAAGCAACGACGACGAGGTGTTGTGGCTCTTCGAGGGAGTTCATTAGCGTCGTATAGGAAAACTCCAGGTACAAATAAAATGTCTCAATAATCTCTCGGTGGTGCGGCATCAGCCAGGCATTGAAGTCGGCTGAAGGTCACCGCCATTTCGCGTTCGGTCACAATCATTAGATTAAGTATTGCGTCGTAGAATTTACTTAATTATTATATGGAAATTCATTTATTAGAATTTATTCGGGATATTCTTTAAAATATCATTTAAAATATTATTTAGAAAATGGTTGAGAATTTATTGAAAATAAGATGCAGAGTTTATTGAAGAATTTGTTTAAAATAAAATTCAGAATGAAATTAAGAGAAAAGTCCAGAATAAAAACCAGTATGAAATTAAGAATAAAGCTAAAAACAAGTCAGGAATAATTGCTAAATAATTAATTAACAAAACCAGGAATTATTTCGGATTGTTAGTTAACTACGTAGGCAGAGCTTGAATTGGTTTTACCAGGACTAATTTCGGTTGGTCAATTTATGACTTTGGTGCCATGTAAAATTAATTGTCGTTAATAATCGAGTTAAAATCATTTGAAGTAAAATTTATTAAATTCGGAAAAATAATTTATAATAAAAATTTAATGGTTTAAATAAAATCATTTGCAATAAATTTAGAATCAGTCAAAATTGCAATAAAATTGTTCACATAAAGTTATTAATTGAAAGTAGAAAACGAAACTTGTAAAATTTCGTTTGGAAAAAAAATTACCGAAAATGTGCGATAAAGACGCCAGACCGAGCGAGAGCGTCAGCCATCTTGTCCCGCGCGAAGCGCTGAGTAGAGGACATTCAAAGTCGAGACTAAAATTGTACTGTGTTGCTAGGCAGAATATAATCCTCAAATAAAATAAAATAAATGCTAAGTTTTTCATGCAACACAATAGAACGGAAAATAAAATAACGTAGAGAAAATAAAACTCGATTATTGAAAGACAAGTAAAGCAGTTTAGTAATACTAATTTACATAAAATCAACTGACAAATTTTAGCTGATAATAAATTAAGTTCTTAATTAAATAAAATAAATTAAATAAAATAATCTGGACAAGATTCTAAATATTTGGAAAACAACTAAATAAATAATTTATTAGATTCGGGTAAAAGAAAATAAAATAACTGATAAATTCGGGTAGAATAAATTAGACGAATTAAAATAATTTAACACAACAACTTATAAATTAAATTAAGTAAATTCAGTAGAATCAAAATTGTAAAACCTCGGAAGTAACAAATACGTTGTTGGCAGATTATTAAGACCTCTGTCAATGGATTTTAACCTATTAATACAAGATACGAAGACCTCTTGATATTAAATATTTAATTGTTGTATTATTAAGACCACGACATTAAATTAGTTAGTGATTTTAATTTAAAATTAAGATTAGGAATTTTAGAAATAAATTAGGAACTCGGGTTTTGTAATTTGTTGAAGGGATAAATGGATCCAAGCATCAAGTCGGATTTCAGTTGTTAATTGGGAAAATAAATTTGTAAAATCCGAGGTAATATTTAGTGGGTTTGGAAAATGATAGTGTGGGTGGGTTTAGTGTTAAGTATTGTAGTGTTGACTAGGGATTCATGGTATCCTCCTCTGCTTCCTAGGCACACTTAGAGTCCTTTGCATAGACGCCCGGGTCAGGGGTGCAATAGGCATAAGTATTTTAAATAAATATTGTGGGTGTATGTGGAAAAATAATATTGCAGTGTAGCCTAGGGATTCATGGTATCCTCCTCTGCTTCCTGGGCACACTTAGAAGCCGTTGTATAGACGCCGGATTTGGGGTACAACGGTAGTAAGTTAGAAACCGCGATAGGACGCTCCATAAGAGGATAGATATTGTCGGGATTAAGTTGATTTGATATTTTGTAAGGGGTTTTTATTGTGTATTAAGGGTTGGATAAATAAAATGAGTTGTAAAAATGAATTTCTGATTATAATTTCTATTTCCTTCCTGACAATCTCTCCGACCCTGAGTCTTCACTCCTTGTTCTGGGCCAGTTTCTGGATACTGTGGGAAAAATCCAGTGGCGCCTTAAATAAATTAAGAGGCGACCAAGAGAGCGGCGGATCCCCGTTTCAAAATGTGTTTTTCTCAAAACTATATTTTTTAAACTGGTGACCACTGTAACTCGAATACCGCTCAGTAGGTTTCAATGAAACTCATACAGTTTTTGGAAAACGTAAAAATCTCGTATTTGATCAAAGAATTTTTTTTTTTCTTCAAAAATTTTGATTTTTTATAAACATCTAACTGTTGGTTTTTTCCCTAAAATCTATAGAAAAATTTCTTGAGGCCGCCATTTTGTTAATGTTCAAAAAATAAAGCATCGATCAGGCACTAGATTATCTATTAATGAAACTATTTTTTCATGTCCGATTGATTTTATATGAATCTTCAAGGATTTATGATGGTCACCGCAAGAACCTTTTTTTGAATTGGGTCAACACAAACAGCCATAACTTTTGAAATAATTAATTTTTTTTTTTCAAATTTTCGTGAAGTCAAGTCAAAACATTGAATAATGATGCTATACTATTACTTTTTTAAAATAAAATGATTTGCTGACAAAAACAAATTATTAAAAATTTTCATTTTTTCATGTCTCTGACTACCCCTAACCCCTTAAATAAATTATGTTATTTTTTTGACAATTTTTTTTATAGTCAAAAACATTAGTACGTAGTAAAAATTTTTTTTAATAGAAAAGAATAAAATTTTTTCAAAAAAAGCTCCGCGAGAAAATTTATTCAAACGTGAACCAATCACTCAACATTTCAACTGCGCATGCGCAAGAAGATATTTTTCTTGTCGTGTATGGTATAACACCGATAGCATTTGATCGTCATTATCATGCGTGGAATGTAAAAATACATAGTCACGCTAATTGTGTAAGGAACCTTAATCCCGTACCACCAATTGTACCTTGTCCATCGATAAAAAAAGAAGGCTTGAATTATGTTGCAACAAGACACTTGATTTGAAAACAATAACAATTAATAAGTATTTAATTACTTTTATCACAAACCAAAGTTATTTGCGATAAGAATTGTATATAATTTGAATAAACAAAGATATCGTTCACAAATTGTATAATTCAATAATTTACTCTTATTTTCATCTGCAATATTATAAATCCTAAATAATCTAGTTACTTTATAATAAATAATATTTTTGAAGCATAAATATTAAGTTGTTGCAGCTTAATTTTATACTATTAAGGCTGCATGATAATCATGTTGCTGCCACATGATTTTTCTCATGCTACCGCAACATGATTGCCATGTAGCCGATACATGACAAATCATGTGGATGCAACATGATTTCATCATGTTTATTTACCAAGACTGCATCATGTTGCATTTACTACTTATTTTTTTTCGTGTATGGATATCGGACTTGACAGAGTCATACGTAATTCTCTATAATGAATTAAAATACAAAAAAAATGTTTACATATGATTTTGTATTTTATATGAACAGGCATGGTCAGGTCTGATCATTTTTTCCCGGGAAGTTTATGTCAACTTAATGCTATTTATGGTAATTGGGTAAATAAAATCTCAGGAATTACCTACCAATTGTCGGTTGTATCAGACATATGCTCTCTTAAGCTCACAGCGATCACCGAGCGCCTCCTAGGCTCGAAGTTCCTCTCACCGATTGTCATTTTTTGAAAATTTTGAATCTGTGCAGTATTGCCAAAAACTGGAAAAATAGTTCGTAATTTGAACAAAAGTAATTAAAAATTGAAGTTACGATAGTTGGTCCTTACGTTTTCCGTTGAAGGGTTGGGATCACAGGTACATTTAGTGCTTTGTTTCATGGATAGTATTCTTTGTTGAAGTTAGTGTTTTCTTGAGGTTATCCAGAAATTTTGACTTTGAAGCGGTTAATACTTGGCGTGGATCAGCTGAATTTTTAATTATTGTAGGGATAATATTGGAGATACAAAGACAGACTTATAATAAAAGTTGTAAGAAATTAACTTTTCTACAAAAAACCTTCTTTATCATTTATTTGTACTTCTGATATTTTCGCCAGAATTTTGATTATATGTTCGAATATCAAATTTTTGGTGAACTTATACCTTTTATTTTCAAACTAATACAGGGAAAAAATTTCTGGGAAAATTTACGATACAACTATTATAAAGCTGGACTATACTTTCATTACTATAAATTGTCAAATATCTAGAAGAAAATTTACTATTTATTTACGAAATTTTTCAACTTGCTATCGTAATTTCATCAAATAATTATTGTATTAAATTCGATTAGAAAAAATCCGATATTACTATTGTAAAAAGTAAGAGATTAAAATTTCCAGCGTTGCCTCTGTATCTTTCAAATAAAAGTAAAAAACACGGAAAAAAACGTGCGGCAAATCTAACCACACTTGGAGTTGTCACAGAAACACATGAAAATCATCCGTAAGCACACTATAGCGTATATATACTTTAATCCATCCTGTGGTAAATGCTACTCCAAGTGTAGTTGCATTTACCGCATTTTCAATGTTGTAAGTTTTCGTTGTGTGAGTACGGTAATGTCGTAGTATTGAGCACTATCGTGAGAGTGTGCTTGTGAGTCAGTTGTCTCGAGGATGTCGAGCTGCACTGCGGAAAAGTGACCGATGTAACGTGTCTCCCGGTCAGTTACCGATGACTGAGCTCAGGTTCAGCCTCTTGGAGCGAGGTGATTATCGCAGAGGAGCGACTGAAATGTCGTCGCTCCGAAGTACGGGAATTTGGCAGGCTCATGCGGTAGCTTGCGGTTGACAGGCCTCGATTGCTGGATGCTCGACCCTTGTAGGAAAAAAATTATATAGAACGGGGCCTGTCTTGGCACAATACTGGATTGCCCAGACTTGACCGAACAATACTGGCCCACGACTGGACCACTACTCAACTGACAAGCCTTGGTTTGCCGATCTTGGACCAAGACCCAGCCAATATTTAACTGACAAGCCTTGGTTTGCCAGTCTTGGACCAAGACCCAGCCAATATTCAATTGACAAGTCTTGTTAAACTCCTCTTGTACCAAGATCTAGCCAATGTCTATGTAAGAAGTCTTGGCTTTGCCAGCTTGAACCAAGACATAGCCAATATTTAACTGTCAAGCCATGGTAAAAAAATCTACAATTTCGCTTTTGGGTAAATTCCCCTCAGACTGATAGTTTGTTAGTTATTAACAATCGAAGTTTTATAAACAAATTGAGCTAGCAAGCTGAAAAATCAAACGGTCTAGCCAATGTCTATGTAACAAGTCTTGGTTTGCCAGTCTTGAACCAAGAGCTAGCCAATATTCAATTGACAAGTCTTGTTTAACTACTCTTGTACCAAGATCTAGCCAATGTCTATGTAACAAGTCTTGGTTTGCCAGTCTTGAACCAAGAGCTAGCCAATATTCAATTGACAAGTCTTGTTTAACTACTCTTGTACCAAGATCTAGCCAATGTCTATGTAACAAGTCTTGGTTTGCCAGTCTTGAACCAAGAGCTAGCCAATATTCAATTGACAAGTCTTGTTTAACTACTCTTGTACCAAGATCTAGCCAATGTCTATGTAACAAGTCTTGGTTTGCCAGTCTTGAACCAAGAGCTAGCCAATATTCAATTGACAAGTCTTGTTTAACTACTCTTGTACCAAGATCTAGCCAATGTCTATGTAACAAGTCTTGGTTTGCCAGTCTTGAACCAAGAGCTAGCCAATATTCAATTGACAAGTCTTGTTTAACTACTCTTGTACCAAGATCTAGCCAATGTCTATGTAACGAGCCTTGGTTTGCCAGTCTTGAACCAAGACCCAGCCAATATTCAAGTGACAAGTCTTGGTTTACTACTCTTGGACCAAGACCCAGCCAATGTCTCTGTAACGAGTCTTGGTTTGCCAGCCTTGATTCAAGAGTTAACCAATATTTAATTAACAAGCCTTCATGAGCACACCTCCTTCAAACTACCTCTTTTTACTACAAGCTACTTAGAGAAATCTTTTTTGGTAACTGTAATAAAGCTTTGGGAAGAACTCCCACGCGAAATTGTAAATTCGAGTAGCTTACAAGTCTTCAAAAAAGAAGTATTTAATTACTTATTAAATCTTGATAATTAAAACAAATTCTAATAAATAACAAATTTAAATTAATTCATTGAAAATTAAAGATTAAAATAAGGATGAAGTAATTGCAATTCTCAAAATTATTATGCTGAGTTATCATCGAATCTGATGACATTAAAATTCTATATTTTAAAATTATTATTTTCATATATTAAGTTTCAAGTTTAACCCTTACCGGCCACACCTCACCCAAGCCACATAACGGCCACATGGGGTAACTCATTACCCCACGCTGAAAAACCTAGTTGGACAAGATGTGTACATGTTTTGAGACTTTTAATTAATTGTGTCATGTTCGTTGACAAGTTCTTCAATATTTCTAATGGTTTAAAACTTGTTTAATTAATAGATGGCGTTCTAACAACTGGTCACATAAGTCACAATTTTGGAAAAATGGCTTTTTCGCAAAAAAATTCACATCTCAGATTCACGGCATATGCCGTTTATTGTATTTATTTAAAAGTTTTAAGACCTCTAATTCCACTTTTTTTAAGCCTGGGGTAACTAGTTACCCCGTGTGGCCGGTAAGGGTTAATATGATTTTCTTTTTTACCTTGTTTACATATAAATAAATTAAATTAATTATTGTGCAATATTATATTATATTATGTACTCACAGAAATTGCTTTCTTGTAAAAACTGTCTTTAGTATGTAATTGAAATTGCCATTTGGCCTATGCCTGGGCATTAAATAAACACAATCTAAATCTAAATCTAATGTAGATATTTATTGTTTAATGAATATTTGTTAACAAATGCTTAAATTGAAAATTTATTATTTAACAAAAACAATTACATATCGTCAAGATTGATATGGTCTCAAAAAAATTAAAATATAATAATTTACAATGGAGTTTTTAGTATTGATAATTTTAGTATTAAAAATTTATAACAAAATATTAAAAGTATACAGAATGATGTATAAATACTAAAGTAATATAAAGACTTGACTTTTGTATTTTTTAAAATTAATAAGCATTTGTGAAAAATCGTTTATTTTCATCAAAACACAATATTAAATAACATAAATTGTGAAAATAATAAACCGTCACACTGTCAGCATATAGAGTTAGCTTATATGAATGATGGGATGTAGAACAACTATCGGTCGTACGGCGTAGGTGTTAGTTATCGGTCTAGTAAGCGCGCGGTTCGGGTTCGAATCTCGGTTAGGGCAAATGCAATTTTCACTTTATTTTCATAATTAATAAAAGTTAGGTCTAAATAAAGAGTCAAAGGGACTAAACTTGCGTTAGCCTTGCATAGAAATTAAAATAAAAAAAAATTACAAATAAAAAAATTTTTTTATCACTTTTTATCAAATGGCATGGGCCAGACTTGAATAGTAACTGTGGCCCAGTCCTGGTAACCAGGCATGGGTCAGACTCGAAAATCGGTATTGACCCAATACTAAAATGCAGTCTTGGCACAATACTTATTTTCAGTCTTGGCACAATACTTATTTTCAGTCTTGGCGCAATACTTATTTTCAGTCTTGGCACAGTATTGATATTCAGTCTTGGCAGGAAGTTATCATTTGTATGCTTAGACGGACTTGGGCCAAGCTTGGATTTCAAGCTTGCCCCAGAGTTAATGAGCATTGCGCCAAGCCTTGGTCAAGCTCGGGCCGATTGTTCTTTCCTCTAAGGGGAGGGTAGTCGCGAGTACTGTCAAGGCTCCCAGGGGAGCGGAGTCACTGGTAGGTCTGGGACACTAGTTGTGTGAGTGGAGAATGAGTGTAGAAGTTTGTGTGGCTGGGAGTAGCGTGAAAGTGAGTTGAGCGTATGTAGCAGGTGGCATGAATGTAGAGGGGGTACGGTGAGAGACAGTCTGGCTGGAGTAGTGAATGAGTACGGATTGTTTTGTGTAGAAGTCTGGATTTATAGGAGAGTATTGTGGAGGTCCTCGTAGAGGACGGACGTGTCGTCGCTGCTCGGCAGCGTTTGATGTGTACCGTAAAGAGAGTCAGTTACGAGCTCTCGTAGAGTGAACATCGTGTTTGTGAGTGGAGTGGAGCTCTCGTATCGTAGCTGGCGTGCCTCACGCTTGCTATTATCGTAGACGAATGGCCCGAGCCATTGTCTTTGTTTCGTGTTCGTTTGAGACCGCTTCCGCGATATTTTTAATATCGATTTATTTTATTTTACCGATTAATAAGATTGAGTGTTAGTTCGAGAGTACCGATTATTGTACTAGATACCGTTTAGTCCCGTTTTGTAAGGAAATTACTTCCTCTGAGAGACCGAATCACGACCCTCTCTCAATAACCTGCATAACTGAGCGACACCGAGGTATTCCGTTACCGTCGAGGCTGCTCTTGGTCTTCTGGGAACATAAAAATTAAGTTATCGTATCCCGGTTGCCGATACCGGTGAAACAAAAGTCGGCTGGCGCCTGTCGGGGTTCCTGGAGGATCGAGAGGTGGTTAAGATGGACGAAGTGTAACGTAGTGAATTATCGTTTGCCGTGAAGATCTACCGAGTGACAAAAATCTACGTTACAATATTCAGTGATATCTGTGGTGAAAAAAAATTTCAGATAGTAGCTATACTCATTGTTATTTGGATTATACTCATTATAATCTGGATTATATTAGCTACTATCTGAAATTTTTTTTCACTCAATATAATCTGGGATGATATCCAGTGTCATCTTGTTCTTTCCGTGTAGTTGAATTGGAATATTTTTCAATTAGTGTGAGTGATGGCCATGCACAGCTCTAGACTCCGAGTTGATTTAAATGCTGAAGGACATCAATAGTAGTTTACCTCGAATAGAGTATAGTAAGAGGAGAGTCTCTGGCTACCAATTAAGAGTTCTAAGTTCGATTCGCGGACAAAATTTCTGATTTGTATTTTCGGTTACTGCAAAGTTACCGATGAATCCAACCTCCTACCTTCTCCCTCTCTAAAATTTCTTTTAAAAAAATCGACTGTCAATTTTTACAATAGTTGAATTGTAAAGTTCACTAACACATCTTGTATAATTTGCTCTATAGTATTTGACTTTTTAAGTCTCTTGCTAGTCTTGTTTGTTGAATAAAATTTACAATAGTAGATCGCAAAAATGATTAATTTTCTCTTAAAAAGGGTTATTACAATTTTTCCATACCTCCAATATTTTCACCAGAATTTACAAGTTAAGATTCTTAATGAAGTACAGTCAAGTCTCGTTATGAGTCCTATTTATTTTCTTTTTTTTTATCCAGACTCGAGTCAATATGAGAGAGACAAATAGGACTCATAACGAGACTCGACTGTATTAAAATTTTTTGACTAATTATGAATTCCTCAAAACTTTATGACTAAGAATTATTTTACTGAAAGTATTCTATTTTCCTCCAGTATAGTGTCCATAAATCACCAAAGAATAATAATAAACCCCAAAAATCCTCAAATAGCTTTGCATTACCGTCTTATAGTAATCGTAAATTCCAAAACGCATCGCCAATGTTCCTCCGCAAAAATTGTTCCACTCTTCTTTCTGAAAAACATCAATAAAATTAACAATTGACGACTAAAAATTAATAAAAATAATTGAATCTTACCATCATCTGCACATCGATTCCCAGCAATAATTTATTGTACTCATCCACAATTTTCTCCATGTTGTAATTCTTATTAATAAACTCCTGAGTAATGTTGGTAGCATGCACGCAAAAATCTTTCAAATCTATAAAATATATATCGTGACGCAAGATATCCATTAATAATTTAACATTAGTGTTTATTCTTTCTTCTTCAACTTTTGTTAGGAACAATGATAACATTAAATCTTCTGATTGGAAATAATTCGATTTTTTGTACTTATGTTCTTGCAATTTTTTTATTAATTCCCAAAATTTTTTTTCATTTTTATTTTTTATACCATTATCAAATAACGTTTGGATATCGTATAAAATATCTTTTATTGATTCAATTCTATTACTACTATTGTTATTATTGAGCTGATAATTTGTGTCGAAAAAATTATCAGTAAAATTGTGTACCAATTGAAAATCACTCAAAAAATTCCAATTTAAATTCAAAGCGACAATATTTTTAACGAAAAATAAAAATATAATTAACTTAAACATTCTCTGATAGTGTTCGGTGAACAGGCCCACTCAGTGAGCAATACGTCACTGTGGGCTCCCCAAATTTACAACACGCACCTGACAAGCCATCGTTCCCGCTATTTCTCACCCGCATGCGTAAAACCGCCTGACTGATCACGCCACAGATATCGAATTTTACCATTGGCTATCGATGTCGACATCAATAGAACGAATTTATTGATTGGCTATCGCTCTCGTTAGACATGCGCAGTAGCCTTCTTCTCCAAGACGAGGAAGAAGACGAATTATTATTATTATCTTTCGCATCCATTTTCCCGCTTGTCAAGTCGCATTTTCGCATACATAAATTTCGCTTTCTAAATTAACCGCTTTTTCGCCTTTAAATAATTTTCTTTGCTTAATTAATTTGCTAATAATTCGCTTTAGTCTATTTTAGATAACTTACAATTATTTGTGCAACAATTACCGCTTTTTTCAGTGCCGGCAGTTTATTCAACCACGTGCTAACCGGCTTCGCTTTTGCTAACCACGCTGTGTATTACATATCCGCTTTTATTTAACCAATCCGCTATTAAACAATTTAAATATTGATTGTAATTATAGTTAAATAAACTCTAGTGTTATTTTTGTTAATAATTTTTGTATTTTAATTGAGATAACCAGACCGAAACCTGATCCTTAGTTTTTCCGCTCTTTCATCATTTTACAGATAGTATTCTCAGAAACTTGCAAATTGAACTAAAAAAAAAAAAAAATGACTTCTAATGTTACACCTAATAAAGTAGTTTTATTTTTGTTTTTATTTATCTATTGTCGTTATGAACGTTGAATCATGAAATAAAATTCCACCAGACCCGGAAATAACTTATTACGTTTTATCTATTTTTTGTCATTATCACTCACTACTAAAGATAATGAAAGCATAGGTGTTAAGTTCTCAATAAAAAGCAATAACCATCTGGATATTGCCGATATTCGATCCTGGGTCCTAAGGGATACGAGTTTAGAGCAGAGCTTGGCTCATCTCACTTAATGACCAGTGAATTTCGAAAATCAAGAATTTTCAGGGTGATGATTTGTTCCAGAGAATAAGAAGAGCCAGTAAAAACGAGGAATTGTAAAATTTTTATTAAATTCGAGTTAAAAATTAGAAAATTTCTTGCTAGAAATAATCGCTGATGAATTGTGTATGTCATTGTAAAGTTTTTTTATCTACTATTGTAGATTGAAAATAATATAGACATGTTTTTAAGAAAATTAAATTATTGTCCCTAAAATAAAAATACATGAGAATTTGAAGTTAGTCAGTAGACAAACTTTGAAAAAAAAGGGACACGATCCAGTATTGGTCAAAATTAAGGCGCGCGCAGCGCGCTATTCAATTTTCTGGTTCTTTAACCCTTTAACGCTGAAATGGCCGTAAGTGACCCGCGTGGCACCGGAGTGGGGAGCGTGTAAAGTAAATGTAGAAGGAGGCGTTCCACCAAGAGTGGGGAAAACGCCCAGAAGCGTTAAAGGGTTAATAAAACAAACATTCACTTGCGTTAAAGGCATGCAATTAATCGAGGCAATGCGCTTTATTTCAAAGAAATTTTACAAAACTTTCCCTTACTAAGAAAAGCAATTAAAAATAGTTTGAAACAATTCAATATGGTTTGATATGACTACAATATAGGTATACACTTTACAATGATTAAATCATTTTAAACTGTCTTTCTTAACAAGGGTCGTTACTCGTCTAATAAATTATAATTATTGATTAATTATTAATTTATGGAACCTAATAAATTGACTAATTAATAATTGCATGATGATACACGGAGGGAAATTTATAGGAACCTTTCCAAAAATGATGGGAATGGTTCCTATAATAAAATGATCATTATAGGTATCAATCCTATGCTCATTATGGGAACCATTCCCGCATAGTTTATTGGAAACGTTCCTATACAATAATGAAATAGCTTCAATATATTGTGGAAATGGTTCCTATAATATTATGGGAATGGTTCCTATAGTATTATAGGAATGGGTCCTATACTATTTAAGGAATGGTTCCTATAATATTATGGGAATGACGCACATAATAATAGAAAAATGTTTATGTTCATAATAATGAAACAATCACTTCAAAAATATAAAGTAATTATTATATATTTTTTTGCCAATAAATTTTTTTTTTGTAAATAAAAATCGATCTTTCACTAGAGTAAAAAAATATCTTTTTCATAATTTTTATTTACGTGTGTACTTAACCTTAAATTGTTTATTCCAACTCAGTTATTATTGTGTTAGATATAATATTGAAAAATATTGTAGCAATTCTAAAGTTTCTCTAATAAAAGGGATATTTTCTCATTATACAATTAGAGGAGCAAAATAGATGTGGAAATTCATTGTTTATTTTTACAATTTCATTTTATTTTTAAAACGAATTATTTATTTACAATACATACGTTGAATATTTATTAAATCCACCTTTTGGGCATGTAACTTTTATTGTTTATATGAACAATATTACTTATTTTACATATTTCAAATGATGTTATTCGGAAGCAAGTAAAATTATCGAAATTACTAATAATTTTAAATGCTTCAAAGTGGTCATCGAAGTCACAAATAACTTGAGTTGTAATGATAAATATCTCAATATTATTAGGCATCATCATTATAATATTATAGGAATGGTTCCTATAATATTATAGAAACTATTCCTATATGTTATAGGAACGATTCCTATATATTATGAGACCCATTCCTATATATTATGGGAATCATGCCAATATTACAGTTATAATTATAGGTATCGTTCCTATAATTATAGGAACCATTCCCATAATTATAGTAACATTTCCCAAAAATTATGGGTACAGTTTCCATAATTTAAGTAATTGCTCTTAAAATGGTATAGGAAAACATTTCATTGAAATTATGGGAATGATTTCCACATATTTCTCTCCGTATAGAAGAAGTAATTTAATACTTAAAATTATCTTTTTTACAGATGAAAAAAACTGGTAATATAGTACAAAAAATTTTGCAAGAATGTTCGATGAGCCCGGAAATACGTAGAGAAGTATATTTTTCTTTTTTAAAATATTCATATCTGTAACATACCATCAATTGACATAATATTTCTAATATCTGCACGGAAAAGGAAGAATAGTATATTACTCACCTAGGGCAGAAAAGTAAGAAATGTCTCAGATCACATGCAATTGTTGGCCGAGGCGAACCCGAGGTCGACAAACATGTGATCTGAGGCATTCTTATTTAATGCCCAAGGTGTGTATACAATTTTAACACCGAAAATAAATTCAAAACCGGTGATAGTGTTGAAATTAAATACTTTAAATTTTAACACCTATACTGCCTGGACTTACACTGGTTATTTTTACAGTGTATCGATCAAATTAGTATCCATAAGGAGTAGGAGAGGAAGGGGTCAATTGAACCAAAAAAAGTTTAGCAATTTTTTTATTATTTGAATTAAAACTAAATCATAATTTTTTAACTTCCCGCTAAGAAAATCGAAGATTTTCAAAAATCGGGAAGTCATTGTTTTCACCCCATTTTGCAAAAATCGAGTTTTCATCAGATCTCGACGCTAACGCCCCTACTAAAACTCGACGGTAACGCCCCTACCCACTAAACCCTAAACCCCTTTTCCTTCTTTCCTCTAATCCCTCATGGAAACCGTCGTCAGGCATTACTTCGTGAAGGGAGGATCTAGCTACTGCTCTTCCTTCTGATGGCTAAGGTGTTAACTTCTTTCTTTCTATCTTCTGCTATTTGCTCTAATTCTTTCGGTGGAACGCAAGTCCTTGAGGACTTCTGTTGCAAACGTGTTGGTAGCGTTCCAGAGGCAGCTTCTGATGACAACATTGCTTCCAGTAGTGAATCTGATTGCATTTTCTAGTTCAGGATCCTCTCCAACTCTTCACTCTGTGGATCGAAACGAGGACATACAAAGAAGACGAGCTTCGCATCTTCAGCAACTCCTGGGCAGGACGGGCACTCCGAAGAGTCATCGAGCTTAAAGCGGTGTAGATACTTTCGAAAACAGCCGTGTCCCGACAACATCTGCGTAAGATAGTAATTGTCCTCGCCGTGATTCCGGTTAAGCCAAATGTCGATCCGAGGTATGAAACGGTGCGTCCACCTACCCTTCTCTGCGACATCCCATTGTAGTTGACATCGGCCTATGCTCCTCTGCCGTTCTTCAATTCTAAGTTCTTCAGGACTCAGTGCGTAGTTGACCTTTTTCGTTGGTAAAGGGCCCGTCTTTCCTCTGCTAGAACTCTAAGAGGTAGGGTTCCGGCAATGACGCACACTGCTTCTTCTAATATAGTGCGGAAGGCACTAGCTACATGATTCTTGGGTTTCCAGTGCATCAGCCCAAATGGATATTCCGTAAGTAAGCACTGATGTGACTACTGATGACAATAATAGCCTCCAGCTCTGCATTGGGCCTCCGATGTTAGGCATCAGCCGTGCGAGACTAGCCCTCACTACTAACGCTTTGGCACTGACATGTTCCACCTGCTGCTTGAAGTTGAGTCGTGCATCCAGCATCACTCCCAGATAACGGATAAATGGTTGTGATATGATTTCTTAGTGGTAGCTGGTAGCAGTGGATACTCATACAACTCCCACGTCCGGAAACTGATAGGAATAGCTGGATCAGAGATTATGTAATTCAACACCTCAATTTTTTGCTTGTCAGACATTGTTATATACGGTACAATCCACTCAATTGTCTGGATTGTAATCGTTACATTTTCATCTTCAGTGGTAACATAAGCATTTTGATCAGTATGTGATCTGATTAATATCAATTCATGCTTGGCATTCACAATAATTCGTTGATCATCTTCAGCAAATCCGAGGATAAAACTCAGAGGTATTAAGATATCAAAGTAACCACTATTATCAGTCAACGTGATATTATCTTCATTAACAATCCAACCAATATTTTCCAGAATATTTTGCTGTCCTGGACTTAGAGAAGCATATCCTTTCATAACACTGGTGATGCCTACATTCTTACATCTGTCAATTTCTACATCATTGAGATTATAACGTATCTCTCTAAACATATGACAGACAGCCATGTTGACCATCTTTGTAGAAGCACTTACAGCAGTACCATCATCTTTACTCATTCTTCCATAAAAATGTAATGTACTCTTGCTTGGGAGCAAGCACAGATCTTGATGCTGAACAGCAATCCTGATTTCATCACTGTTGTTGAATGTTGATGATGCGTATGGCATGTGTGAATGCGCTTCACAGTGTGCAATAGATTCATCAAAAATAATCGATTTTTTTATGTCTAAAATTTCCGCCATAGTATCAAGCAAGCTAGACAACAAAAATTTATTTTTAGAATTTTTAAGCTAAGAAATTAATAGATAATAGTTAATAATTATAGAAATTAGTTATAAAATAGAATAATGAAATAAATGACTTACTTGATTTTCCATAGAGTACACAATTTCAAATATTTGAACAAAAGACACAAGTTTTTTTAAACTGAACGACTGATTGAAGTAACTGCAGGCAGAAGACTGAAATTTGGAGGCAAGTAAGTATAACTCCCCACCAACGATCCCCTCCCAACGACGATGACAACGCCAAAAACAAGTTTAAACTTATTGGATGACGTAAAAACATGGCGTAATCGAGAGAAGAG